CGTTTCTTGCACACACAGCACTTTTCGCATTGAACTTACTCAGAAGTTCTTGGACGTCATCTAAATTTCTAAGTATTCCCCTTACGTTCCACTGTATGATGTTGTCCATAGTGGAAAAAAAGGGGGAAAAGTGCTGTGTGCAGAGAGGACGGAAATTAGCTCATTTTATTGGGCCTTTGTCAGGCCCTGTAATCGGCGTTCTGTCCTTTTTGGGGCGGTCGAGAGAAGCTCGCCGCTCCTTCGGCGCTTCCTGTGCCGTTTAGCTTGGACTGGTGTCCATAGCCTCTTGCGAGGCACTGGACGCCCGCTCTACAGAGCGATCTGTGCGTCGCTTAGACTTTGCCTCGATTGATGAAGTCTTTGTCCCCACCGAGCTGGGGGTCGATAAAGCCCCCTTGGCCTCTTGATTTTCCTGGCTGCTGCCAGAACTTGTAGAGGTCACTGGTGTGGACAGGCTGAATGTGGGCAGGGCAGCGCTGGCTGCTCCCGCCGTAGGGGCTTGTGGCATTGGCCTCGGCTCGCTAGGCGAGGTCCGGGCAAATTCCAAGGGCCTTTGTGGTGCCGCCCCTCGTTGCGCCACTTCGGCGAAAGGTGTTTTTAGTGCCAATGTTAACGACATCCGTTGTCTTGCTTCCCTGAATGTGATATTTTTCTTTACTTTTATAGTTATTATTTCTTTTTCTTTTTTCCAGGCTGGGCACGCTCTGGAGTATGCGGGGTGACTACCTTCACAGTTAGCACAGAGGACCTCATCATGACTACATTCATCAGCACTGTGGCCGGTTGTGCCACACTTAGCACAGATCAGCTGCCCTCGGCAGCTCTGGGATGCATGACCAAATCGCTGGCATTAGAAACAACGCCTCGGGTTAGGAATGAAGGGTCGGACATGGAGTTTTATATAGCCAGTTTCGAGAGTCTCAGGTAAAGTGGTTGAGTTGAAGGTGAGTATTAAGTGCTTTGTTGCTATTTCGTTGTTGTTGCGTCTGATTTTGATTCGCTGGACATGTATTACACCTTGTTCCTTCCATCCATCCATCAAGAAGCTCTTCTTCACTCAGTGTCATCAAATCTTCGTCCGATACCACGCCCTTCACTGTATTCATGGTAAGATGTGCGCTCACAGAGACGGGGATGTTACCAAAGGCTACAAGATGTGAGAGTTTATTGTACTGTTGCTTGTCTTTTAATTCGAGAAGCAGATCTCCACTTGCCATCTTCGTGACCTTATAACCAGTTCCAATGGTTTCTCTCAAGCACTTGGCCACAAGGAAGGGTGAGATTGCTCTAGCTTTCGTAGATGATTGTTCGCAGTGGAGGACATGGTATTTTGGGAAAGTTTCTCTGTTTTTGGGCCAAAGTAGTGAAGTTGTGTCGGTGCGTACCCTTTTTGAGGCACGATCAGTAAGAGAGGGGGTCGAGGATCCCATGGGAAAATGTGTATTTTTCGGTAACGGCGCCTACCACCCACCACGGAGTCCAACAAGGGGACGTGGCAGAGCATGTGGGCATGTCTGCGCAACGCCAGCAGTACGCAGTTACTATAACCCAATATGGTTTACCCTAGTTTGGATAGCCACACAAGGTTAACCCTTGCCGCCAGGAAAAACAGAAGTAAATTGAAGAGAGGAGAGAACAGGAAAGATTGAAAGTAAGAGGGAACGACGAAGATGAAGAGAGGGAGAGACAGGAAAAGGCGACTGCCGGTTTCCCTTGGGTGGGTCAGCCCAGGGGTGCCGTCTACGTGAAGCCGAAGCCAAAGGGGTGTGTTGCCTCCGCCGGGGGGCCTTAAAGGTCCAATCACCCGGCGTCGGCTCAACCCCCAGGATCCTCTTTTCCCCGGACACGGCAAAGCCACGCACGGCTAGGCGTGGGAGGGAGTCAAAACTCCCCCGTTAGCTCGGGTCCGTGGTGTCGCTACACACCAAACGCCTACTTGCGCAGGCGTCCCTGCGGGGAGTCATGCTACAGCAGTGCATATATAGCAGGAAGAACACAAGCTAAACACGTACAAACATCACAGCAAAAGCGTGATTCAGTGCGAAAGAGCGCAGACAGTCACTCAGGGCAAGACTCCCTTTGAAAGGCAGAATGTGCTTTACTCGCTGGTAGTTGCAACATTGCATAAGCTTTGTGCATCAGTGCAGCAGAGAGGAGCATAGATATTAGCGGTAAACTGTGTTCAATGCATTTTACTCACCGACAATTGTCTGAGACTGCATGTAACGAGGCGCCTCTGCGTGTATTTGTTTATGCGCTGCCGACTGCCTATCCACACTGCCGCGAAATTGGTGCTGCCACCTACAGCCCGATCTCGCCACGAATAAAATTGCTATCTTTCGAGCCAAAATTGATAGTTTGGGAACCTTGATGGAACTGTGACCACCTGGGCTGCTTTGGTAATCGCTCAAACTTAAGTACACGGGTGTTAACTGTTACACAATCAAACCAGCGGCCTCATGCTCACTAGTCATCATGGCAGGTACGAAAGCTTTTCTTTTTTTTTTTTTGTAATAATGTGCTACCAGATGAAAAAAAGATACAAAAGGTTTGTTCAACATGTGGATTGAACCCAAGACATCACAGTCACAAGCTCAACTATTACAGTCTTATGCTTTCTAGCAAGTACAGATGGTCAGATTTTTGTGATGAGATGGTAGATCCTTAGAGCTGCAACTTGAACTTTGACCATGACGGTGCGGTCACAGGCACTGATGCATGCCCTATCTCGGCAGACATCAGCAAACTGCCTGCTCTGCATAGAGATTATCGAGTACGAAAACCACTTCACTTACGTATCATATTCCCTTACATCCCCCAGCGTTTTAGAGAGTTACACAAAATTGTATTTATAAGAAATTGCTGAAAACCTTACTTCTTATACAATTACAATTTGTTGCAATGACATTCATTGCTTCGCCCTAGAGTGAAACTGTGACTGTTTTGCACCATCACCAACGTCATGGAAAGTGCGTTGAGCAGTGATGATGATGGTGCTAAGAGCTCGCATGGCAGCGCCTTGTCAAGGATGACTGCTTATGAAGGCACCAAAGATCTCGTGGGAGAATTTTCGGAGCAATAATGTGTTTTGGAGCAGGATATGGCACAGCAGAAGCACTTCGGTGCAATGTGGCACAATTGGCACAGCACTTTCACTGCTGTCACTAATATTTTGTCCAACAAATATTAGTAAGCCCTTACACTTCTTTCCTTCATACAAGAAACGACCAATCTAAAAAAAAATACGTTGGCGGCTCAGTTAGTCAGCAGATTATGTGCATAGACTTGTTGTAACTGCAAAACTGGTTTTTAGTACACCCAGCAGGCCTAAAACAAAAATCTTTGACATAAATATGATGCGCAGAAGAAATGAATAAGACACCAGTGGCGTTCCCATTAACTACCATTAACTACCTACATAACTACCTGAGCTCAAAGTCGTATGCTAATATTTTTCTAACTTTGATTGCATGCATGTCATTCCAGCAGTGATGACAAACTAATTTTTTGTAACACAAAATGTTCTAGGACGCAGCCTTGCATTTACCGGTCATTCAATGAAACAGATACATAGCCAGATAATCGCCTTATATGAGAGAGAGAGAGAGAGAGAGAAAGAAAAGACATTTACTTGGTCCGGAAAGAAAAGGATGAGATGCGTATACATACAACTCCTGACTAGACCCATGTCTAGTAATGAGCCTCTCAGGGAGCCTTCCGGACAGCCAGCAGCTTTATATAAAATGCTTTTTTATGGGAACTGTCGTCGTTTTCAGGCCTTGAAAGCTTTGCTATTTTTCGAGCATATCAGTCCAATTGTGCTATTTTTGTTGTCAATATACCTGATGAAAACTAACAGAAAACTGCTTTTTGATCTCCACCTTTCATGAGCAGGGTGGTAAGGATTGAGACACATTTGCATTCAGTGCCGTACTTCCTTGGCAAACAAGGCTTAAAAAGATTGTAGTTACAATCTTTTTTTGAAGGAAGTAAAGCTGTGAAAATGCTTATGAAAAATAACAGACAATTTTCGTGTTCACTCAGCACTGGGTAGCGTGCACTGGGTAGCGTAGAGTTCGAAAGATATCTCAAAAAATTATTGACACAGAGATCTGGCATCTTGTACTTTTTTAATAAGTAGCTAATAACCCATTTATCACAACTGGAAACACCCTTAGCACACAATGGCTTTTCAGTTTGTTTCCGTGGTTTCACTGGCATTCAAACAGCTCATGGTTGCGACTTTCACCCCGTTAATTAGGCTTGCACATTCTCGCATACACGAGAAATGGCATTAGGCCTAAGACACGGCTTGTTTCTTGGCAACAATAGGGTGTCACTGTTTATCGTGAAATTGTCCACAAAGACAATGTCCAACCAATAAAATTTTTTCACATAGACACGCACATGCTTTGAATCAATGCTGAAGTTATCAGTTTTTTTCCATGCTATGATTCACTTGCAGTTCTCAAACTGTCCTCCACTTAGCATGCAAAATAGCGATACGTTTTCAGTTATGCCTGTGTAGTCAAAACGGCACCTCGGTACACAGCACCTGAACCGTATCATCGCGCAATTGTGCCACTTCAACTGCACAATAGCTGAATTTGGGCCTTAATTAAAAAGCAATCACAGATACAAAGCACACATGGAAACTTTCAGGTTGTGTCAACTGCATCTGCGGAATCAACCCAGAGAATTGTGGCATCTAAGCAATGGTGGCGGTACAGCATGGCAGCTTTCTGTGGCAATTGAGCTCTCCCATAGCGTGATTAAGTTTTGTGACCAGAAAAAGTATAGAAGGACTATGGTTTAACGGTAACACATTTAACCACAGAATGCCCGCTAATGAAAAATTCTGGAAGCCAATGATACAGGCTTCAAGAGCATGGCAATTGGTCGGATTGTACTGGACGCACAGTTAAAAATACGAAATTACTCATTTACTTGGAAAAATCTATGAGCCATTAGAAGAAAATATCACAGCCACATTCACTTACCTCTGGGCACCACACTTGAATCACATAAGATGCAATGTCAAAAGTCGGGCTCAAGTCTGAATTGGCCTTCAAGAGCTCAAAGCAGAACTCATAAATCTCTTCTTGCTACAGAAAAAGAAAGAGAACATTGAACAAATCAGATACTGATGCCATGTATCCTCAACTGAATCGAACATAACTTAGAGCGGTAATCAACAAACACTAGTATAGTTTAGAATGCACTTTCTTTTTCAAAGAATCATACAGGGTGTCTTAACTAATAATCACCAAGGTTTTAAAAGAAAGCAACTGTGTTACATGAAGAAAATTTAGTACATATTGCTCCTAGTATGCTGACATTGCTGCTAATTATATTTGCATAAATGGTATTTATTTAGTCAAAAGCACTCAAATAGAAAAATGTTGACGAGGCATATGTAGAAATAGGTACATAATCAAGAAACGGTACCACGAAGTAACAAAACACAAGTTCCTAGCTCTCAATTCAGCTTTTGTTCACATGCAAAGACTTCATTAATGCACCCTAAAAAAATTGCTGACAAATGTGTTGATGTGTTTTCCACATCTGAAAGAAGTCACAGGAAAGGAATCAACCCTAAATCAGGTGTTGACTTTTTGGTAAATCGCAATCTTGAGGCACTTGCCACTGACAAGGAGTGCTCCTTCATAGTCAAACCAGAAAAATATAGTTGAGAAAACACTTGGTGCCGTGAACAAGAATTTAAGCCAGTAGTAGTAACTTCAGAAGAAATAAAAAAGAAGGCATATTAGAAGAACTTGGTCTTGAATAAGTAGCTGCTGGTGTGAAAAAGGCAAAAAGTGTTGGAGGCTTTTTTCAAGGTAAAAGCTTATAAAGGTGGAATTACCTTCAGAACAATTGTGTCTGAAAAAAATGCCGCCATATCCACGAAGTGAATGATGATGAGTGGGCGAAGCTCCGGAGGTAAACCTGGTAAACCATGAATCCTCCGTACATTTTGCCCACTCGATTTTATTGCAACGCTCCCCCTAGCGTACGTCGCCGCACTATATCGAACGATGACACGCGCCATATGTAGCATCATTCCTATTTTATAACACCTCGCATCTTTCATAATCAACTACACGTACCGCTGTCTAGTTTATAACATCTTGCATCTTTTGGACGGACGGACGGACGGACGGACGGACGGACGGATGGATATGGCTGTACCCTTTAGATCGGGCGGTGGCTAGTGTAATACTTAGAACTGAACGAGAGGTGGCTACATACAGGGGACGCACAGCCCACGCCTTAAGGAGCTTCGCTCCTAAAAGGTTAGTGACAATTGCCGTTGTTCCAGTGCCTAAAAAGTGTTTAAATCACTAAAGGGCCCAGCAGGAATTCCTAGTGTCCAATTCAGAAGAAGTAGTTCAATACTTAAGTACTGACATGGCTTTGAGGCACCCTAGAAGGGACATCTTTCATTTTCATGTTGTGCACTACCAACGTTCCCCACACACCGGAGTCAGACAACAGGCAGAAAATATTTTGTTTTGATTTTAAAGTTCATCACCTGTCGTTGTCAAACTAGTCCTACACTGCAATATAAACATTATCATGACAAGTCAACATAGGACTGGATTTGAGAAATCTTCGTCCTACGCGTGCAGCCTAAATCGCAGAAATTGTTGTCAGGGTCTCTTGACTGTGATTCCCTCATTGTTGTTTACGTGAACCACGTGCGACTGACAGCAAACTGGCTGTTGTTGCTGGTATGTCGAGAGTTGCAATCGTCTCATGACATCAGACCCCTCTTGACACATCATTGCGAAGCCACACTCTTGATACTGAAACCGAAATGGTTGGTTTAAAGTAGCGGCATTAAAGATATAATCAGTGACTTCCCAAACACTACAGCACTCTTTTTAGGGTTCTTGACACCCATTTCACTTAAAGCAACAACCTGAAAATATTTAAAATTCGTATTGGTACGCTAACCAGGTACTTACAGTGTGTTCAGCATGGGTGTTGAAGATTTACATTATTTTATTCCACAAAACGAATTGCAAAAGAGAGTGAAAAGGTACACACATAAGTACAGTGATTGAGTGGGATTGTGTTCACAGGTGTAGCATTTCTGTTAGTTCATTCCTCAAAACATGGACATGTTTTATTTATGATTATTCATTTATTTATTCACAAATATTGCAAACCATTAAGGAATTTTCGCAGGATGAGATAAATATATAATTGACTAGTAGGGCAAAAAAACAACAAAAACGAAAGGAGAAAAAGAAAACTAATGTGGTACAAAGACAATGCAGATATAGGATAAAATACGCTTCAAGTATCATTAAAACAGTGCATCAAGTACAATTGTAAACAATAAAAAAAGAAAATAAGTAAGTAACGCAATATGGGACATGAACAAAGTAAGGAATGGCTACAATGCCACATAATTGAACAGTTGATTCTATTCACTCTTGACCCTGGGAAAAAATGAGTACTTGAAGCAGTTGTTGTGCATAGTGAAGGAGGTCATTGTTAGTGCATTGCGCTGTCTTGTAGCATAACCGGTTAAAAAGGAAATGATCTACGTTGTAGTGTTCATTAACTAGTTAAAACAAAACTTTTAGCTGAGAACATGACTTCTCTGCATCAAGGTTGGTAGATTGGCTCTCTTTAACAAGGCCGTCATTGAAGTGCATCTAAAGCTTTTGTATATATATTGAAGAGCCCGCTTTTCAACACCTACTTTATGGATGTCTTTTTTGGTGAAAGGATACCAAATTATGGATGTGTAATCTAATACAGGCTGCATAATTGCATTAAATGCAAGATGCACATTGAGAGCTGGCAATCTCAAAGCTCGCCTGAGGAAGAAAAGCTTTTGCTTGGCAGAATTATACGTAGTATTGATGTGTTTGTTCCATCTGAGATCTTTACAAATCCAAATACCACGATATTTTAAGTTGTCAAGTTCAGAGAGCAACACATTATGTGCCAAATACTAAAAATGCAGAATGCTACACTTGCTGGCATTCACTGTGCTACTTTTTGTCGTTCTTCCAAGAAGCGCAGTATCCGCTAAACACTTGCAAGGAATTTTGTGCCAATTGTTCATGCAGTGGCTGATGACGATGAGAAATTATGCCTGAAGTAGGTATGTGCCACAGTTAACAGGTGAACAAGAACAAGCTTTTGTAATGATATTTCGTCAGAACTACCCGGTTCTTGGCCAATCCCCCAGCGTGGGTGTGTGCCACAGTTTCCAGGCCATTCCTTCCTTTTGTAATGGGTTGGAGCATTGGACGACCCCCCTCGTTACGCTATTCGCACAGTGCGATGGCAGGTTGTTATTTCGCTGTTTTAAAATGCTTTATAAGTCGTATTAACACGATTGCTTTCCCGATATCAAGCCTGCCTAAGGCAAGTTTGCCAGCAAGTCCCAAGCACCGGCGTAGCTCAGGGGTAGAATACTGGGCTGGCACCCAGCAGACCCAGGTTTAAGCCCCACTGTGTCATTGGCGCTAGGTTTTTTGTTTTCTAATTGCGTGCGATGTGGTTACGGTTATCGGCGGCGGCGATGGTGGACAACTACGGTGGCGCGTGACCCAAGTTGTGATCTCATAACAGCTTTCGCAGTAAAATCAGTTTTTTCACAAGGGCGAAGCAATGAATGTGATAGAAACAAATAGTTATGGTATACGAAGTACAGCTGACTCTTTTGGATCCTATATAGCATAACTCTACATGTCGCTGCAAAAATGCTTTTCTAGTTGTCTCTTTGCGTTGAGAGTGCAGCATGTTACAAGAGCTTACGAGCCACTGGCACGGATGAATGCCAAGATGGCCCATGCACCATCGATCTCGACCTTACAATCAAAGTTCACACCTGCTGCTCGAGTTATCACAGCCTTGACGAAATGCAAATATACGGTAACCATTTCGATGAAACTGCAGGCATGATGTTTCTTACAATCAAAGTTCATAGCTGCTGCTCGAGTGATCACAAAACTCCTCGAGCCTTGATGAAACTGCAAATATAACTGTTTCGATGAAGCTGAAAGCACGATGTTTCAGCCACATGTTCATGCATGGGGTCATTTTGCAGTGTAATTGGGTTGCTGCAGTGCAGTATGCCGCTGATGCAGTTAAAGTGGGATGCTGCGGTGCAGCATGCCGTTGATAAGCGAGTGTGGCGCAGCCGGTGTGGTTCGGCACAGGATGGTGCAGGCAAACCAGTTTGGTGCACAATGACACAGATGCTCCACCCCTGAATGTCTTTTTACGGTGTATTAATGAAGGATTAGAATAGAAGCCAGCCGAGTGTGATGCTAGAACTTTTAGATACGTAGAGCTTAGCTACCCTCGAATTTAACAATAACGCAGTAATTTAAAAAGCATTGGTTGATTACACGCATGGTACATTTATAAGCAATGCATATAATTCTGTCCTACACAGACTGTGTTTCTGTGTCCTACACAGACTGTGTCCTACACAGACTGTGGATTGAGTAAAAAATTACTGGTGGAAAAAAATGGCACCTTTTCATTATTCAATATTTAATAAGTATGTGAAGCTATATATTTGTATTCGATTCATATTCTAAAATTTTGATATTCGCACACCCCTAATAAATACTATCAATTTCTGCTTTATTGATGATTTCCACACAAGTAGGATGCTGCATATCTAATTGTTCTTTAGTGTATGAGACGAGACCAATTGGTCTCAACTTGTATTGCTATGCTTACCAAATCATTAGTTCAAGCTTTTGGTAAGCATAGCAATAGTTCTACATGCTACACTGAAAACAGTGCACAGTACCTGGCAGAACAATCTGAACAGATGTCACTTTTGTTGATCAGAATAAGATTGGAAATATGTCTACACTATAACTGGCTGTATAACATTCCAATAATTATAATTGCTTCAATGCTTCATTAGTGAATTATTATTTTGGTTTTGTAGCATATCTCGGGTCAACTACCTGTAACAGCCTTCTTTCTCCTCATCTGATAATTGGTTTGCAACTACACTTGGTGCTTGTGTGCTATCACCAGCAACTTGGCTTAATTGAACAACAACCAACAAACCTATGTGCTGACCCAGCATGATCGCACCAGTGACACTGCTGCACAATTTCATAGCCCAGTAAGTGTACATAATTTGCTGCTGTTCCCAAGCACTTGTGCAACTGCATGCATTGCCAGAGAAAAGTGTACGTCACGTAATCCATCCATCTCAAATTTTCTACATTGTTGCTGATAGTAAAATATAACAAGGACTGTTAAAACAAATTTTCTGCAATCTGTAGCCAGATCGAAACAAACAAGGACAGTCTGTTATATTCAAAAATGTACTCCTCTGTAAAGTGGATCCACTTTAAAGTGTACAGACTATATTTTGTTGCCAGCAAGTTGTCTGGTAATCAATAATCATAGAATGTTGTATAACTAGAAGCTGGAAGTGAACATGCTTTTGATTTTTCATGACTTCCAGATATTTTTGGCATGACATGTGTTGCAGTGATCTAGAATATGAAACCACAACTTGCAACACCTGCAGCAGAAAATCACAAGGCATTCCCATTATTCGCACCATTGACAATGACTATGTGGACTTGGCTGCCTTATTATTTCATCTCGCTTATATGCAAGCTCCTCTTTTTCCTTGGATATTTGCTGCAATCCATCAGTAGTCCAAAATAACCAGTTCACAGCTAGGAATATCCAACTAAAGAGAAGTTTGATGTCAATTGTCTCACCTTTATGGGATTGTACTTCAGCTGAAAAATAAATAGCAAAGTCCATTTCATACACAGGACTAACTCACCTGTGATATATCCTCAATAGGCCCAAACCATGGCCAATCCTTGAGCTGCAAGTGTTCACTTTGACTGTCGCTATAGAACAGCTTGTTGCGTTCACTTGGCACCGTGCCATTCAGCACACCCAGCAAATGGTCCTGCAAGTTTATGGACAATTTTTTCAGAATAGTTCTGAACTAAGAAACTGATGCGGAGCAATGGCAGACGGTAGTTATGCTTACATTTACTTTTCCTTCTTTAATGCACTGGACAAGCTTCTCATTGCGTTGTTTTCGCTTCTCCTTGATGCTGTTGAAGTGAAAATTACACCAACTTGACATAAACATCACACAAAACATTGGGTTGAATTCAGGAGTACTAGACAGAACACATGATTTAGTTCCAAATGCAAACCTATCTTACCCTGCTACAATGATGTTCTAGTGGTGGGTTTCACAAGTTGGGGGCCTGGCATGTACAGTCGAGCTCAATATGAGTTGGAGCACGCTGGCTGTGGGTGACCTCAAGCCTGAACAATGCTGTTAAATTGGTTCAGAAAGTACCGCTAATTGAGAGTTTAATTCACCAATTTCTTTTCTATGTAGGTGCTGCTTTTGCAGCGCCACTTTTAGCGCAGTCAGCATGTTGCAACTTATATTGAGTGCGACTGTACAGTGCTCACAATGAAGTGGCCCGTCAAAACTTCTGTGCTCTGTTTTTATCACTGCAGTACAGCTTTACCAAAGCTATAAGGTGTAAAAAAGCCACACACTTGCACAGCAAAGCATATTTCTTAATATAAGTGCCTTCAAATTGACAGCGGTGGCTAAAATTGACGTTTGGTGTGTGTTACACCACATCGATATGTGACATGTTTATTCTTCACATTTATTTCGTATCGGTTATTGCTGGTAATTGTGATTACAAATCAACATGGCAGCACTCATGCAGAAGGCCACTTGCTTTGATCCAAACTTGCTCTTGCTACATACACGCCCATTGCACTCACGGCAATAAAAAAATGTTGAAATCAACCATCGATTTGTTTCATATTACTCTGCGGACAAATCAGCAGGTACGGCAAGGCAGTGTTTGACCTACGTCACCAAATCAAGTAACACTGCATCACCAAACATCATACACGCAACCTCGCACAGTGTTCCGTGTGTGTCGGATCCTTCTTCGATGGAAACAAAAAAAAGAGAGAGAAAAGGAGCGTTACAGCAGTAGACCCCAAGGAACGTGTCGACAAAGAAGCAGTGGGAGACTCAAAGGAACGCATTTCGTGCGTGGTTCCGCATTAAACAACCACCCGTGTTCACATCAGAAAATAGTTGCACCATCACAGAGTGCATTATTGTACATGCAACATCAATTCAACTATCAGTGAAGGCGCAGTTCCGCAAATGAAAAGGCTTTGCGATGCGGGCTCTTGCCTTTCCCACCAAAAGCTTCACACGAGGCTTTAGTTGTCACTGCGGTTCTTCAGACCCTGTATCCAAACTTGGTTCCACGTGTGCTGCCTCGGTTGAGCTCATGAGTGCGATCTCGTTTGCACCCGATCTCATGTTTTCTAAGGCAAGCTTCCCGGGGCGGCTTGCCAATTGAGTTGCAAGCCCACTGGTTAGACTTAATGAGTGCTACCCGTGTAACTGCCCAATTGATAGCAGCCACGGATTTGTGGTTTGGTGCCAAGTCAATGAAACCCTTTGCGGTGGTTACATTTTGAAAGGGGTGGATACATGGCAACAACTTTTCAATTATGACAGCAGCGACTCGCATCATTTACGAAAATGAGGGTATGCACGGTGCTTATGCATCATTCGAGTTGTGGTTCGCGGTTGCCAATGCTTCAGAAATCGTGCTTAAAACAAGCGAAAATTCAGTTGCCGTAACGCGGGAAATTGCGGCGCATAAACGAGAAGCTCTGAAAAGTTAGTCAGCGACTTTCAGCAACAATATTTCTTTTTTTTTTTCTGCAATCATTTTGTTGACACAGCAGGCCTTGGAACATCAACTTTTCCACATTTACAAATTTAATGGGATGGAAATTTACATCCCTGCTGCCGGACTCAATTCTCGGGATGGCGCGGCTGCCATTTCGATGAATTCTGCAGATTGTCACTGGAGAATGGTGTTATTCTTATATGGTGTATATGCATTCCTTTGGTGACTCGCGTTATATCAGGAATTTATGGTGTAATAGAAAGGTAATCCGATCAGCACTGCACAAGTGCTCACGTTTACCTAAATCTACGCGTACTCACAGTCACGGCAGAGTGGTGTGTGATTGTGAGGATAGACGCATGCTAAGGTGTTTGGACATCAACATTTTAGTCTCAATTTAAAATATAAAAGCACGACATCAGGAGCAGATTTGGTGCAGAAATGTGGAAATGTAGCAGGATTAGTCTTTCGGCACAGTTTCACGCAATCAGTTTAGCTTTTACACAATGAAGTGCATAGTCCAAGATGGCCCATGCCATCTTGGACTACGTACTAGAGATTTGTTTAATTTCTTCAAGCAACGAATGCATAAACTACACATGTCGTGTTAAATGTCATGTCGTGCCACATAGCTTGCACAAATACTTGAATACGAAGCACCTACGTTTATTCACATTACAACATTCGAGGGCCACTCACCAGGCCCCATACCAAATTTTAGTTAGAAAGTGCAAGTTGTTGGGTGTCGAATGAGGAGCATTTAGCCACAAAAAATGTTTGAATCGGTTCATCACGAGCGGAGAAAACGAGTTTTTTGAAGTGGCGCGAAAGGAGGACAAGAGGAGGCGAGCTCGAAACCCTTGCCGTTCCTCCGTGTAGCATTCGCAAGCCAAATCTCTTCGCCACCCTCTCCGGCATCCGACCAAGGGATCACGTGTGCATGACGTGCCCGAACGAGCCCAACCCCCATGCACGCGAGCGGCTTTTTTTTTTTTTTACCAGTGTTGTTATCAAGTCTACTGCCTGTTTCTGCGGGATGGTTTGGAAACAGTGGCTTAGACGCGGTAGAATAGATGAACACAATGAGTGCGCGAACGCGTAGGAGCGTTCTACAGCTGTCATCTACGAGATGTGCTGACCACGGGGACACGAACACATGCGAAATGCCGGCACATTAGCCCGGCATCTCGTTGCAATTGACCGGAAAAATGAAAAAAAAAAAAAAAGAACCCTCACATTCCCTTATAGCGTCTTATTATTTATCTAGAGATTTGTTTAATTTCTTCAAGCAACGAATGCATAAACTACACATGTCGTGTTAAATAATTTTTGCCATGTCACGTGCCACTGTTGGCAACGTCAGAGCATGGTCATTTACGTAGAAGATCAATGTCACTGCATTGCCGTGTACTTAGGGCCATTCATACGCGCACGTCATGCCCTCATTCTCTGGGTGCGCGCGGGCAAAAGGGAGAGGAAGCAGTGTTCATCTTGAAATTTGACCTATTTCCGTGGTGCGTTGCGTTGCAAATTTTGGCAGACGTGATCATGAACGCCTTGTCTACACATGCGCTTGTCAGCTCAAAATTGTCAAACCTGGTGAATGGCCCTTTAAAGCTTGTTGTAATAGAAGCCAGCATACTTTACGAGGTTGCTGCCTTGAATGTTAAAAATTACCTTTTAAAATTAGAGCTTATTGGACAAACCTGAATCGTCAAAAAGTCGGAGAATATTTATTTCATTTTTTTCCCCTGAATTATCCAAAAACATGGAGCCATAGCTATAACACCACAGCAAACTGCTTGTTGCAGCACATAAAAGGATAATTAATTATAGTCTGTTTATTGCCAAGCAGTTTAGGTTTCCGATCGCAAAACTTTCAAGAACAAGCCAACGGGCGCTACTATGGCCACATAGCTTGCAATACAGCACACAGAACTGTAATGCACTTCTATGCTCCCTGCATAATCTACTGGCGCTCTCTTGCCTGCCCCATGTGCTGCGCCGTTATTGTCGTCTCGTGGCAGCGACTTTTTTAGGTCTTCTACATCGTACTGAACCACACATTCACCATGGAAAAAGGCTCGTGAGCAGCTGCCAAATAGTAGCCTGGTGGCACAAGCACAGCAAATGCACAATAGTGACTATGCCAACACCATTCTAGGTGCTCCACCTGCGGGCTCAGCTGCTGTGGCGACATCTTGGCTGTTAATGGTCACTTAATTTCACTTTATATGATGTCACTATCACAAGTTGTGGCATATAATGCTGAATCGCCCACATGAAGTTCAAATTTAAAGCTAATATAAATTACCTCCCAAGCTATATTTGCTCTTGAGACCTGGAGGCTTACAAAGAGGGTTGAGCTTAAATTGAGGACGACGCAGCAAGCGATAGAAAGGAAAATGATAGGTGTAACCTTAAGAGACAAGAAGGGAATCGTCATCATGCATCAGGGAACAAAGTGGGGTTAAAGATATCATAGTTGAAATCAAGAAGAGGAAATGGACATAGGCCGGGCATGTAGGCAAGATAACCGCTGGTCATCGAGGGTAACTGACTGGATTCTCGGAGAGGGCAAGCGGGTTGGGGGGAGTAAGAAGTTAGGTGGGTAGATGAGATTAAGAAGTTTGTGGGTATAAAGTGGCAGCAGCAAGCACAGGACTAAGTTGACTGGCGGAACATGGGAGAGGCCTTTGTCTTACAGTGGACGTATACAGTCAGGCTGATGATGATATACATGTTCACGAGAATCAATTCCATAGGCTATCTCCGCTATGAAATTTTGTGCAAGTACCCCTTTACCATGTAATGAAATTAAAGTAAATGTATCATCTTGCATTTCACTGCCATCAAAATGCAGCCCCCACCCAAGTAACCACGGATATCAGCTGGCTGTCCATTATGGGTACAAATGAACGGTTGTACAGATATTCAACACGGATAGCCAATGGACGTACTGTGAAAATCTATGTCTCATGTAGCTGTTTTCTAGACGTCCAAACTGAATGTCCAGCTGAACATTAAGTTTCGAACGTTAACTAGCTGTCCCTGTAAGGACAGGCCAAGGATATGTGCATTTGCTCATCAATTATTGTAAAATTAGAATGTAGTGAAATGTGTGTATATATATATATATATATATTACGACGACTCGGTTGTAGCGAGGTTTATTGGCCGTGAACACGGGAACGAACAAGCGCAACGGACCCGACAAAGAAGCGCTCGTGCCAAGCAGATGATGATTGTCAGCCAGAACATATGATGATGATTGACTGCTGTTCAGATGAGGATGAAGCGCATAATAGATGCCTACACTGATTCCCCCCCCGTGGAAGCGGCCAGCCTGGCCGCTGCGGGCG